CGTGGCAACCAGCGGTTGCCATGGGGATCGTGAGTCTTTGTGACGCCCGCGGCGCCCGCGGCGCCCGGGAGTGGGGGCAGGGTGGGCGGAACCAAGGCTTAGAGGGGAGACCCGTTCCCTGGATTCCCAGACTTGTCTGCTGCGGGATGACGATCCCAGGACCCCGACGAAAGGAACCGCTGGCCTCTCCCCGGCTCCGCCCGGCCGGCGCGGAGGAACTGACCATGGGCTATGCTCTCTCCGCTCGGACCAACCGGGAGCCGCCGCGGAGTGCGGGAGCCAGGCCGCAGTCGGTCCCTTCAAGCTGGCTGTCCCTGAGTCAACCGCCCGGCACAGGGCTCCCTAAGCGGGGCTTCTGGTGGGACCTGCAGCCTGCGGGTGATTTTGAGGGGGGCTCCTGCTGCATCCCTGGCTGAGTGCCGCTCAGGGAACCCCTCATTGGAGCTGCCCAGAGTCGGGGCCATGGGCACTGGCAGGTGGGCAGTGCTGGTCTCCCTGGTGAAGGTGCTGCCCGCTTCCTCTCCCACGCTGGGGCCCCATCCGGGTCTGGACAAATGGGGTCTCCACAGCTCCCGGCGCCCCTCAGAGGTATTCTCAGCCTCTGGAGCCCCACCTTCAGGGGCCAGCTGGGCTCAGGGCCTCTGGGACCCCTCAGCCAGCCGGGGTGTCCCACCCGGAGTGGTAGGTCTGACTCCCCAAGACACCCCTTGCCCCCCTTGGGGAGGCTGAAGAGGCAGGGATACCCCAAGCCATGCTTGTCTGCTCCTCCTGGGAGGTCAGTGGTGGGGCCCCCTTCCAGGATAGAATGTCTGCCTGAGTCCCCTCCCAGTCTGTTCTGTGCCAGAGCCTGCCCACTGCACCCCTCCCCACTGGAGGAGTCCCCCTGGCTAGCTGCCCATCAGCCCTTCTCAGGCCCAGGCCTCGGGGGCACCAGAGGTGGAGCCCGAGGAGGGTGTGTTGGGGCCCGGTCTGCCCTCCTTGTCCGCCCTGGGTTCTGACTCAGCTATGAGAGCTGCTGTTATTCAGGGATCCGCGGGGCAAGGGCTGAATGGTTTGGAAAGGGGGGTGCTGTCTGAAGACTGAGGGGAGAAGAGGGGCACACAGCAGCCCCACCCCTGGACCTCTTTGGCTTCACCCCTTTTGTTCTGTTTCTTGTTCCTAAGCTAATTTTTTACAATTAAATGTTTAATTTGAGATCATTGTAAATCACACCCAGTTGTAAGATGTAACAGAGACACCATGAACCCACTGCCCATTTCCTGCAGAAGCTGTGTCAGATCAAGCAGGGTGGTCCCACAGGGACCCGTCCATGCCCCTCAGCCCTGGCGGCCTGCTCTCTGTGGAGCCCTGCAGGCCGTGTGCAGCCCTGGTTGGTCCTTCCTCTTTGAGTGCCGCTCCAAGGCATGGCCCCCATCTGTGTTCTCTCTCGCCCGACTCTGCAGTCACCAGGCCGTGCTGCCCTTGGCAGAGCGACCCTGGGCCCTGAGAGTGGGGAGCCTGGTGGTCTCGAGGTCACAGCCCTGGGGAGGGGAGTGCACCTGAGCACGGACACCCCCATCATGTGTCCTCCGCACACATGAACCCATCGGGTGGTGGCTCCTCAGCCTGCATGCCGGAGGCCCCTGCTCCCACGTCACTGGGAGCTCAGTGTTCTTACAGATGGGAGATCAAGGCACAGGGAGGTCAGCACCTTGCCCATGGCTAGTGAGTCTGAGCAGGATTTGAACCCGTCATCTGACCACACCCAGAGTTGTGGAGGCCTCCGCGCTCTCATACCCACCACCCCACCCCACCCAGCACGGCCGCTCCTTAGGGCGATGGTGGAGCCAGAGGGCCTGCCTGGTGGAGGGCCCGTGGAGGGCTGCGGCGGCCAGCGGTACTCCTGGCAGAGCCTGGACCAACGAGGAGAAGCCTCTTGCCCTCGTCACTGGGGGAGACCGAGAAGGGCCAGCGTTCTTCGCGAGCTGGGAGGGGTGCCCACTTCCCAGCACAGGTTCCTGCTAGAAAAATGTCTCTGCTCTGACCTTGAGGAGGATGGACAGGATCTGTTTTCCTTGCCGGTAGGAGGAAGACCTCAGCCCATCATGGGGTCTCTGTCTGGGCTTTTTGGGGGGCTAACAGGAGGCCTGGGACCAGGCGTGGGAGCTAGTCCAGAGGACCAAGGAGGGCCCTCCCTGCCTGCCCTGCACCCGAAGGAATGTGCTGTCCCAGAGGCCCTGCAGCTATGGGGGCAGCGAGTCTTCAGGAGAATGTGTCCGGGTTCTGAGTGCTTGATCCGAGCATGGTCAGCACGAGTGGGAACCTGGCCTGAGGAGGCCCTGTGGCTGCAGGTCAGAGGCCTGGCTTCCGAGGAGGGGGAGCCATGTATCTGGACTGAGGGAAATGCACCCACAAATCCCAGGCTTGCGCTCAGGGGAGCAGGTGGTGGCGGGACTGCAGGCTCTTCCAGGCCCCCCCCTTCCCAAGGATGTGTGTGGAAATATTTCTTCTCGCCCTAACCGGTTTGGCTCAGTGGATAGAGCATCAGCCTGTGGACTGAAGGGTCCCAGGGTCGATTCCAGTCAAGGGCATGTACCTTGGTTGCGGGCACATCCCCAGTAGTGAGTGTGCAGGAGGCAGCTGATCAATGTTTCTCATCGATGTTTCTAACTCTCTATCCCTCTCCTTCCTCTCTGTAAAAAATTAATAAAATATATATTTTTAAAAGTATCTTCTTCTCACACCCCCAACAGGATGAGTCTCAGGTGCCCGGAGCTGCCCCCTGGGCCCTTGCCCCTTCAGTGCACTGTGTGGCTGCCACACCAGTTTGTAACTGTAGAGCTGCTCCCCAGGTGTGTGGCGGGGCCTCCAGGTGCAATGCAGAGAAAAGGGTCGGCTGCCTCTCGGGGGCCAGTTGGACAGTCGTCACACCTGTTTATTGGGACCATTCACCGCAGAAAGCAAACTTTTGGCCAGTTTTGCTCAATGGGAAGAGTGTCGGCCTGCGGACTGAAGGGCCCCAGGTTTGATTCCGGTCAAGGGCATGTACCTGGGTTGCGGGCTCAGTCCCCAGTGTGGGGCGGGCAGGAGGCAGCCGATCCATGATTCTCTCTCATCAGTGATGTTTCTATCTCTCCTTCTCCCTTCCTCTCTGAAATCAATAAAAATATATTTTAAAAAAGAGAGAGCAAACTTTTGGGTGTACATAGAGTTCAGGGAGAGGAAGGAGGGTTTGCAGCCATCAGAAGAGAGATGTGGCCTCAATAATGACCCTGGGTGGAGGGAGACACACATGGAGAGAGAGCAGGCTACCTGGCTGGAATCCCACCCACCACAGCCCCTGCCCACAGCCCCAGACCCCAGAACCTGACCGCTGGGGCTTGCTTTCCCCACCCAACTCAGAAGCACAGGCCGAGTTTGCTTCATCGTGCAGGAGGGCCTGGCCATGCACCAGGCTCATCCCCACCCCCTCCGTGCCACTGGGTTCATATCCTTGGCAGAGCAGCATCGCTCCATCCTGCCTGGGCCTGGGGGAGGGACAGAAGGGAGGAGGGGAGGGGCTGCCCCACCTGAGGCCACGCCCAGGACCTCACCCTGGCCCCGCCCCCCAGGCTGGTCTGAACACCAGCCTGGAGGCAGGCAGGGGGCTGTGCAAGCCTGCTCCTGCTTGTGGGGTGTGGGGTGTGGGGTGTGGGGTGTGGGGTCCCGCTGCAGTGACCTGCTACACCACACCTCGCACCAGCCAGGACGAACGCAGCAAGGCTCCGAGGCTCCAGGCTCCGACACTCGCCTTCCCACCAGCTCTTCCAGTTTCTCCTTTTCCGGAAGTCCCCTTCCCTGCAGGGCCTGGGCGGCGTGGGGACCAGGTTCAGAACACCCTGGAACATGGAGCCCTTCCTCAGGAAGCGGCTGGCCTTCCTGTCCTTCTTCTGGAACAAGATCTGGCCAGCAGGTGCCCAGGACCATAGCATCCCCTGCTTCCCCGACCCAGGTGCCGACCCGGAGCTGGAGCCCCCTGCCGCTGTGCTTGGCAGCCCCCCGGCGCCTGGGCAGTTCTTCAGGGCGCTGTGCGACTTCACGGCGCGGTATGCGGATGAGCTGAGTGTCAGCCGTGGGGACAGGCTCTACGCCCTCAAGGAGGAGGGCGACTACATCTTTGCCCGTCGGCTCTCGGGCCAGCCCAGTGTGGGGCTTGTGCCCCTCGCCTACGTGGCCAAGGCCACCGCTGAGATGCTTGCAGACCAACCGTGAGTACCGCCTGCTCTGGGAGTCAGGAAGCAGTGGCTGAGGCTGGGAGGCCATCTGGGAGTCTGGGATCGTTGTGGGGTCACTCATGCACGCAGCAGCGGGCTCCTCCAGGCCCTGCTGCACAGCAGTGAGCACAGAGCCTGGGACACAGACAGCAGTGACGGCCTGGCAGGTGGGGCTGGGCGGCGTGTGTGCCTGCTCCTGGCCGGCCACATTGGGACTCTGTCCGGCTGGCTAGCTGCCCTCTTGCTCTCACACAGGGACTCAGTCCTGGAGGCAGCATCTAGGAGGCTCTCGTTCTGCAGGCTGGCTAAGTAGTCACTGCTTGGGGGCAGGGGCGAGGGTCTGGGGTGAGACATCATAGCCCCTGCTTCCTAGAGCTCCCAGTGAGGACCTGAGTGTGCAGAGGCCATCGGCGTCCTCTTGTGCTCTGAGGGTGTGGTAAGGTGGTGACGGGGGGTGGGGGTGGTATATCAGAGGTGCATTCCCCTGCCCCTCACTCCTGCACATTCACCAGCCCCTCCACCTGCACTGGGCCAGCTATGGGGCAGACATGACCTGGCCTTTGGGATTGCTCCAAGAAAGGCCTGTTTGGGCAGTGGACCCAGGTAGGGGAGCCCAACCATTCCCCCCAGAGCCTGAGCCCCGAGGCAGGGGCAGTCCCCAGGCAGGAATATCTGCTTGTTGGCATGACAGCCTGTCACCATGGAAGGAAGAAGAAGGGGGGGAGGGCTCTCCAGGCAGGTTCCTCGGGGAGGTCACCTCTCAGCTCAAGCTCCAGGTCCAAGGACAGGTGGTCTCCTGGGGCAGCTGTGTGCCAGCTCTGAGCAGGGCCTTGCCATCTGGCAGTGGGCACGGTCCATAGGCCTCAAGCATTCCACCCAAACCCAGGATGTGAGCCTGACCCATCTTCCCGCTGAACGCAGTGGTGGCCGTGGCAATCTCAGGTGTCTGAATGGACGGGGTGTTGGCTCGCGGACACTCGGGCAGTCTCTCCTCTCAGCCCAGCATGCATGGAGGTGGCATGCTGGGTGAGAACAGGCTGCATGCTTTGCTGAGCAGACCTCACCTCAATGTGGGTCCCGCACCCACTGGGCCAGGCCTGAGCCCTGGACATGTCCTTGCCGACCAGCCTAGGGTCTCAGCCTCAGTCAGGCCACTGCCAGCCTCCTGGGAGGAGCCTGAGTCCCAGGAAGGTGCCTCCTGGCCCCACCCCACGCCTGGGACCAAGCAGGCACTCTGATGGGGAGGTGCCCACAGTCACTCCAGGTGTGGAGGACAAAGCCAGAGCTGCTCCCGGAAAAGGCTGGCAGGGCTGTGGGGAGGGGAGGGGTTGCCAAGAGGAAGAGCTAATGACTATTTGCCTGGGCTGGAGATGAAAGGGCTGACCACACTCCCAGGGTCATTAGCCCCAGACACCTGTTCCTGGGCCAGACCGGCTGGGTGGGCTGGGCCCCTCAACCCCCACAGTGAGGCCTCATTGCTTCCAAGCTGCTGAGGGCTCCCCTACAATCTTATTTCGCCCATGGCCCCACGCCCCAGGGAGGGACCCGGAGGACATCCCTGCAGCCCAGGTCTCAGCTCCCTCCCCAGGCCTGGGGCTGCAGGGAGGCCAGGCTGGGAGCCTCTGGTTCTCCTTGCCCCCCAGGGCCCTGCTGTCCTGGGGAGGCCTGCTGAGAGCCTTCACACCTGAGATGTTCTCCCCGCCAGCAGGCCAGCAGGCCCAGAGGCAGGGCCTGTGTGGACGGAGCCTGGCCACCTCAGAGCTCCCCAGTCAATGTGTCCCTGAGCTCGCAGCCCCACCAGGTATTGTCTCTGGGGACCCATGTAAGGTCCACGGGTCCCCCACCCTTCCCCACCCGCCCTGTCTGCTGATTCTATCTCCCAGTGTTTCCCAGACCTCTGCCTCTCCACCCACTCGCACCCACTTCTTCTGCCTCCAATTTTCCCTCCAGCCCAGGCCAGCCCCACGGCCCTGGCCACATTGGTTCCCAGCCCCTCTCCATAGCTCCCCAGGTGGGTGCAGGTCTGTCTCTGCCCCCTCCTGCCAGGCCCTGCCCCTGCCCCTGCCTCCAGCAGTACCCACCTGCACATCCATGTTCACCTGGTCCCCTCTCGGGGGGCACCCCCACCTTGTGCTGACTCGCTCTGAGTCATACTTTGGGCCCCCAGGTGATCTGAGAGCCAGTACCTCTGCTGTCCCTCAGGGCGGGTGAGGGGCTGTGCTCACTGGGCTGTCCCTGGACATAAGTGGTCCCCTTGGGGGCGGGCCTCCTGCCGCTGGGTTTCCAGGGACCCTAGGTATGGGGAGGCTTCCGGGAGGGAAGCTAACTCAGGTGTGAGGTCCCCAACCTGGGCCTCGGGGAACAGACACAGGGGACGGGGTGGGCCAGCAGCCTCACCTGGCCTGATTCTTCGCAGAGCGCTGGCCCAGATGGAGAGTCAGATGAGGAAGCCCCAGGCAGGTCTCGCCCCACCCCACTCGCAGGTGTGGGGGTTTCTGGTATCTGGGCCAGGGGCTCGGGCTGGTCTGTGCTGGGCAGGGCTCCTCAGAGGTGGACGCTCAATGCTTTGAGCCTCCCAGGTCTCCCAGCCTCCCCTGACCACCTGCCCAGCCAGGCTCAGGCCACCTCCTTGAGGGCCTTCCCAGCTGCTCCAGCATTGAGGCTGCTTCTCCCACCCACCTATGACCTCCTGAGGCATGTGGGCCATGCCCAGCCAGGTGGCACCCCTGGTTCTCCAGGCCACACCTGCAGCCCAGCCCACACACCTGAGCTTCATCAGGGTGCCCTGGTTCCCAGTGGACCCCTTCCCTCTCAGGGCTCAGTTGTCTTGAGTTTGACAGGTTTGGTCTATGGCCAGGCTGTTAGCCTGTGGCCAGGGCTGTGGTCACTTTATGAGCAGGACTAACGGGAACCTGTGGCTGAGGTGAGTGGACAGTCTCACATGGCATGGGTCACTGCGGGTGGCTGTCAGCTCCATGCCAGCCCAAGCGGTTCGCCTGTCCAGTCCCTGATGACTCAGGAGGCTGAGCACTGGGGCCGGGGCTGGGGGCACAGAGTGGGCACCTGGGGCCTCTGGCCAGTGTGGGGCTGGGCGCCTGGGGCTGGGCCTGCCTAGTGACCGATGCACCCACCCTTTGCAGCTGGTACTTCAGTAGCATCAGCCGCACCCAGGCCCAGCAGCTGCTCCTGTCCCCAGCCAACGTGCCCGGCGCCTTCCTCATCCGGCCCAGTGAGAGCAGCCACGGCGACTACTCGCTGTCAGGTACAAGGGCCCCTCATGCCTCTGTCCCCCTGAGGCACCCTGGGCAGCCGTGCCAAGGTAGAACACTCTTTTTTATTGTTGAAAGTATTACATTTGTCTCCTTTTTCCACGATTGACCTCCCCCTGCCACTCCCGCCCCCCAGGACAAGCCCCCACTGCCCCAGAGTCCGTGTCCATTGGTTATGCCCATATGCATGCATACGTCCTTTGGTTGCTCTCTTATGAGAACACTCTTGACCTCAGAGTCCTTACTTGTGCCCAGCCCCACCTAGGGCCTGACAGCGCCTACTGCGGGTCACTTCATGTTTGTCCACTGCCTCCTCAGGAGCTCACCCCGCCTTCATTCCCCTTGCAGACTCTCACTCACCAGCACCGCTCTGCACCCTGTCTGTTCCTCTGCCTGTAGCTACCCACACTCCCCCCTCCTCCACGAGGCTCCGGCCGCCTTGGCTCCCCAGAGGGTGGTGGCAGTCTCCTGGTTGTAGTGGTGGAGGGTCTGGACACAGCCTCCATCTCTGCACCTTCCCAGTCCGGGCCCAGGCCAAAGTCCGCCACTACCGCATCTCCACGGCGGCTGACGGCAGCTTCTACCTGCAGAAGGGCCGTCTCTTCCCCAGCCTGGGGGAGCTGCTCACCTATTACAAAGCCAACTGGAAGCTGATCCAGAACCCGCTACTGCAGCCCTGCGTGTCCCAGGTGGGCCTGACCCTGCCCTGCTCCTGCCTGGCCTTGCTGGGCCTCACATCTTGCCAGAGGGCCAGCAGGGGATCTGATGAGGCCCAGGAGCCCACACTTGGCGAACCTCCACACTCTGCTCAGGAGTGGGGTCTGCTCTTCTCCGGGAGCCCTGGCCGGGAGTGTGCCAGGCTCTGTAGGCAGCAGTGAGGAGGGCAGGGGGCTGGGGGCGCATGGGGGAGGCTCCTGCAGCAGCTCCAGGCCCAGGGCAGAAGCTGTGGGAGGAGATGCTGATCCTGAGGACCTGCCCCAGGAGCCGCCCCTGAGCTGGAGCTGCAGTTCTCCACCACGGTCCCAGCGTGGCCATTTGCCGAGGGGCCGGGCAGCGACCTGGTTCCTCTGGCCCCTGAATGATAGCCTGAGGGGCAGTGATGAGTGTTTGTGGACAGTGGTCCTTCTTCAGCAAATGGGGCCCAGCCTCAGGGAGGTCAGCACCTGGCACCCCTTGCTCCACCCAGAGCCAGCATTGAGCACGTGCTGGCGGGGAGGCCTGGTCCCTGGAGAAGCTGCCACTCTGACAGGGCCACACACAGAGGCCCTGAATGCCCTCCACCCCACAGAAGCCCCCGGAGCAGGATGAGTGGGAGCGGCCGCGCTCCGAGTTCACCCTTCGGAGGAAGCTGGGCAAAGGCTACTTCGGGGAAGTGTGGGAAGGCCTGTGGCTCGGCTCCGTGCCCGTGGCCATCAAGGTCATCAAATCAGGTGGGTGAGGCCCTGCCACCCCTGACCCCTGGAGCCCCGGGGCAGCCATGGGTGATGTGGACGGGTCCTGGAGTTGCACCCTCTCCAGCAGCCAACATGAAACTTGCTGACCTCGCCAAAGAGATCCAGACCCTGAAAAGCCTGCGGCACGCGCGGCTCATCCAGCTGCATGCCGTGTGCTCCACTGGCGAGCCCGTGTACATCGTCACCGAGCTCATGCGCAAGGGCAACCTGCAGGCCTTCCTGGGCAGTGAGTGCACCCCTACTGGCCACCTGTCTGTGGGCAGCACGACCTTCGGGCCAGGACAGCGACCCCTGCTGCCTTCTGGCACAGGCCTTTGACAGGCTCCAGGCCTTGTTGGTGGCTGGATTTTCTAAGACTCAGAGGGCTGTGGGGGGCTGGGGCCAACAGTGAGCTCAGGGCCCTTGGTCTGAGCCAGCCTGGGCCTAGTGGAGAGAAAGTCAGGGCATTGGGTTCCAGGCTGGGCAGAGTGCAGGTGGGGAGTGGTCCATCTTTGTCACCAGCCCCTGAACAAGGTCAGTATGGACCCCGTCCAGCGCCCCTCCCCACTTTGGTCCTTCTCTGTCTCTGTTGGGGACCCAGGCTGGTTGCCAAGGAACAGCTTGCCCCGCATGGTCACTGCAGCCGCACAGGCCCACCCCTCTCAGATGAGGAAACTGAGGCACAGAGGGCAGTGGCCTGAGTGTCGGCTGCCCCTGCAGGCCCCGAAGGCCGTGCCCTGAACCCTCCAGTCCTGCTGGGCTTTGCCTGCCAGGTGGCTGAGGGCATGCGCTACCTGGAGGAGCGGCGCATCGTGCATCGAGACCTGGCCGCCAGGAATGTGCTCGTGGACGACGACCTGGCCTGCAAAGTGGCCGACTTTGGCCTGGCCCGGCTGCTCAAGGTCAGTGCGGGCTGGGGCTGCTGGCCCCGCAGGCGGTGGAGCCGGTGGGAGCGGAGGGCGCCACCTCACCCACCTCACCACGGGCGTCCCCTCACCAGGATGACATCTACTCCCCGAGCAGCGGCTCCAAGATCCCCGTCAAGTGGACAGCGCCCGAGGCCGCCCACTACCGCGTGTACTCCCCGAAGTCGGACGTCTGGTCCTTCGGGGTGCTGCTCTATGAAGTGTTCTCTTACGGCCAGTGTCCCTACGAAGGTGGGCCTCCAGGCAGCCGAGGGAGGGCGCACCCCGCCCTGCGGGTTGCTCCCCTCAAGCAGGGGCACCTGGCCTCGAGGCTGCCCATGGAACAGGGTCTGGTGAAGGCTGGGGACGGGATCCACGGTGACTCCTCCTCCCCAGGAATGAGCAACCATGAGACGCTGCAGCAGATCGAGAGAGGGTACCGGCTTCCGCGCCCGGCCGCCTGCCCCGCCGAG